CCAATGCTTGGATCCTTTTCATCTGTCTAATCACGTTTGGCTTTCTGATTTTGTTGAATTCTTTTTATTGTTTCAGTTGGCTAAAGAACATGGTGGGATTATGAGATTTATTCAAGTTTCTTGCCTAGGAGCTTCAGCATCGTCTCCTTCAAAAATGCGGAGGACAAAGGCTGCTGGTGAGGAAGCTATCTTGAAAGTGCTTCCTGAGGTAAAACCCTTTCTTTTTAAATAACTACTAAACACGTCATGCATTTTGTTGCCATTACTGTAGTTGTTCGCTAGACCATTGAGCTCAGAAAGCCCACTCTTCTCTGCAACTATCTGTTTGATATTTGATCCCATTTTTCATTATCTTTCCTTTCTTTTATGGAGAATACCTTTTGACATTTTCTTATGTTTAGCTGAATAATCATAATTGACATTTATTAACTTCTGAGCGACAATGTATCCGGGACTGGTTTTATGATCTTTTCCTCGTCAGCTAACTGCCTCTAAGCCGGTTCGTAATATATCTTGTTTCCTAGGCCACAATTATGAGACCTGCAACGATGATTGGTACAGAGGACAGGATTTTGAACCCGTGGGCACAGTTTGTTAAAAAGTATAGCTTCCTCCCGCTCATAGGCGATGGAACGACCAAGTACGTGTTAAACCCTGTATGCAAGTTTTCCCACTGGTTCTTACCAACGTACTTGGGTAATTTGATCCAGTTCTTCCCCTGACAATGCCCTTGTTGCAGAATCCAGCCCGTATATGTTGTTGATGTAGCCGGTGCAGTCATTCAAGCTCTGAAGGATGATGGCATTAGCATGGGTAAAACATATGAACTGGGTGGTCCAGAGGTTTTTACAATTCATGAATTGGTAATTCCTAGATCTGTTCTTCTCGTTTTGTCACTGTAGTAGCTCAATGAATCTGATATTCAGGTGTTGCTCGCAGGCAGAGCTCATGTATGATATGATCCGTGAATGGCCTAGGTATGTGAAGGTTCCATTTCCCATTGCTAAGGTAAAGATCTATTTTTTTTCTTCTCATTTATGTTTCTTATGTGAGAGGAAGTTCCTTTTGAAGAAAAAAAAAATGAGAGGAATCTGTTTTTAGAAACAGTTTTCGATCTCTTCTCCAGTGTGTCCTAAATCGTTGGATTCTTGCTTTTCCATACATTGTTTGGAAATCCACTGAAGTTGTGAAATGTTCCCAGGCACTGGCAAGTCCTAGGGAGGTGATGCTCAACAAAGTCCCTTTCCCATTACCCACTCCCCAAATATTCAATTTAGATCAAATAAATGCCCTTACAACAGATACGCTGGTGTCTGATAACGGTCAGTGCATATTCTTTGAATCAAATATTAACCTTTGTTTAATAGATAAGTGTAGCTGAGTTCCTTTCCCAGAGGGGTAAATCTCACACTATTCCTGGGATTGTTCAGCCTTGACGTTTCAGGATCTGGGCATTGTCCCGCATAAGTTGAAGGGCTACCCGGTTGAGTATCTTATCCAGTATCGCAAAGGCGGTCCCCAATTCGGTTCTACTGTCAGTGAAAAGGTTCCGACAGACTTCGACCCGTAGAATTTTGGTGCTGAAGGGTACAATGAAACTGGAAAACTAAAAACGGGTATGTTCCATTCCCTTGTGTCAATAAAAAAAAGGACCCTGAAAACAGTGATTGCGTTATGCTCCTCTCCCTTTTGTTGTTTCGGCCTTGAAGAATTATAATCATCTAGATTTTTCTTACTTGAATAAAATTCAAGTCAGGAATACATTGTATTGTCTTTCTTGACGGGCGATTTTTGGCCTTAGGTGTGAAATTACAGTTCCTGGTTTGACTCAAACTTGATATACTTGGTTCCTCTGAAAACGAGTTTTCAAAATATCTATTTGACTTTATGAGTGATATGGGTTTGCTTGAGTGAAGAATCCACGACAAGCTCAGCCCACGATGGAGGACGAGTTTTGCGTCTGATTCCAGCGGCGGCATCAGCTTATATTTAAGATTGGGTTATTGTCGGGTTTGGTGTCTCTCTTTCTTTAATTCTCGTTACTAGTTATGGTTCTGCCTCTGTCTTCTCTTCTTGGTCGAGGTTGATGATGATGCTTCATCATCAATGATCATCCCCAATTATACTCTGTTATATATATATATATATATATATATATTGTCAAGGTGTTTTCTCTTTTGATAAAACACAGAGATGAGGATTTTTTTCAAATATACTAAATTAAAAAAAATAATATTTTAGCTTTAGCTTTATAAATAGTGTACAAAAAAGAAAACAAGAATATGAACAATCATATCCAAAACACAAAGTATACATACTTAGGCTAGAAGAAAGAAGCTATGATTCCACTTGTCCACAACACTTCAATGGAGATATATATCGAGTGAGTGCATTGTACAACATACATACATGTATTGTTATACATACATACATACCCTTACATCATCTTTTTTTTAGTCCACCTGTGAAAAAAAGGAATGAAATGGAATGAAATGTGAGATCATCATTATTATTTATTATAATGGATCCAAAAAAAGAATTAGCATTAAGGTAAGCAAAGGAAGACCTTTTTGGAATGCATGGTTGTAGTAGTTGTTGAGTTTCATGCTATTCTTGTCATCGGAAGAACATTAACGTACAGAAAAATCATAATACATGTATCTGTTATCATTCAAGTTTTCACAAAATTATTTTTCTTAAAAACTTAGAAAGCCATTTTGGAAAAATCAATAAAAAACCAAAAGCTATGTTTTCTAGTTTTCAAAATGTTATATAATTCAAAAACCAAAATCCAAAATCCAAAAATAAAACACATCTCAATTCAAAGTCTAAAGTTCAAAATAGCCCAACAAGCCCTTGCCGTATAAAAAAAAACGGAAGAAAAGAACAAGCCCTTGCCCTATAAAAAAAAAACGGAAGAAAAGAGAGGAGCGTGAGAGTAAAACAGTTCCACGCGCACAAAATGCGAGTAACTCTCACGCGTCCATTTTGGAAAGGTGTCCAGGGAAATCGGTAAGATTTTGCGGAACCTAGATTTCTGAGAATGAAAGCGCGTGGGGAACAGTCCCCTGTTTTTCTATTTAATTTAATATTCACAAAGTTATCCATAGACAATTCTTGTTATTAAACAGAAACCAGCTTGTGAATATTATTACTTTTACAATTTACAGGAGTCAAATTTTTCTACTATTATATTTGAAATTGAAAAGAAAAAGAATTTCCATTGGGAATACTCCGTGCGTTAAAAATAACAAAAAGGAGTTCCATTGAGAGAATGAAGATGTAAGCCCATTTTTTATAAAGTAATAATAATTTGTTTACTCTTACCTGCGTCTGTTATTATGAACAAAAGCATTCTCATATTATCGATTCCGATGTGGCCAAAGCATTTTTCTGTCCATCAAAACAGGAACCATGTGAGCAATTACGGATTCACAAAAAAAAAACGGAGTCACTTCTTGACGAACTGCAAGCCGTTCTGGTTGGAGTAACGTTCCATGAACCTCATGAACCTGTCCCAATCCTTGGGAGTCCTCATAATGTGTTTGGCCACTATCCCCTCCGGTTTCCCGTTCACAAACTTTGCGTTCACGTCCGTAGACTGTATAACCCCTTCCTCGTCGATCATGTACAGTCCCGTTATCTCCCCTACCTCACTCGACGAGTCAAACACCGACGGCTGCTCGAACGTGAACGTTGCCACTCCGTTGCTCCCGTCCCTTGACCTCGTCAGCCTCACGTCCGGAATCGTCAGCTCGTCTGTCCCTTGGATGAACTGCAACGCCGGTTTCGCCATCATTGTGATGTGTCCAAGCTTTGGCCGACAAGAAATCACCCTCGATGATGGCCCGACTCGGGGAAGGCACACCGACTGACCCGCGAAGAACGATGGTGTGATCGGATGATTACCTAGACTTGAAGACATGACAATGCCTGCCCAAGAAAAAACACAGATGAAATTGTGGGCTTTGTCGGATCGCGATCACTGGTTTTGGTAAGAGATTATGTTATTTCTAGCAACTGAGAGAACCATTTCAATTTCAAACCCCAATTGCTCATTCCAGATCAGACTTAGGATGAAACCATTGAAATTGTGGATTCAGAATACATTCAACAAACACATAATTATCAGTTCCTCTCTCCACATTCTCTCGCAATCTTATCATCCAATGCAATGCTTACAGATTACGAACGGAACTCAAGATCTTAACCGGTTTCAACCGGAGAAATCTTGATATCTGTGACATGTGGTTCATGCAGGGAGGGTTTGAGGTTTCGGCATAGTCAAGGAATCAATCACCATCACTGAACACAGGATTTGGCGTTTTCCCCTTACCAAATCGAATCAACGTACATGCAATTGGAGCAAAAAAAAAGCAGAGATTCTACGAAAATTAGGGCGAGCAGAAAGGGAGGGAATCAGAGTGAGAACCTGAGCGTGGAACCTGTGGCGGACAACGCGAGACAGGAAGCAGAGAACCAAGCGACCGAACAGAAGCCATGGTCGTGTCTGAGCGAAATAAAGACAAGAAAGAGAGACGAGCATCGGGGAAGTAGAAGAACACTGGGTGGCGGGAGATCGTGACGTGTCACCTCCTCAACCGTTCCTTCATTTCTGTCATCAGGTCGTCTCTCTCTCACAATATGGGCTTTTTAAGGCCCAAACTTTATATGCCCATTAATGGCCCATTACTAGAAAATCTCATTAGGCCTGGAAAGGTCTCCCGTAGAGCTGGAGGGTTCTATATTGCAACACGTGTCTCGTAGACCGTTGTCATTCCATATACACACAAATAATATATATACGTGTATATATATATGTACACATAATATTTTACAAGCAAAACTCGGGTTCTTTTACACTTGTCCAATACCAAGGGTGATGATGTACAGTAACAGTAGTGTGTACACTCGCTCCATAGGGGGAAAAAAACGCTTCACGTGTTTTCGTCTACAAGCAAAAACGCTTCACTGTGTCTTCTTTCGCAGATGGGTCCTTTGAGATGCCTATCATGTTCTCATTATTCGTAGCCTTCTCACCGACCCAAGGAACATCCTGGACACAGTGTCCGAATGTTAAAAAAAAAAGGATATATAATGATTTAGAATTCAACTTTGAGATAATCAAGAACAAGGAAACACATGCATGCATACCCCCAAGGGACATCGCCTACAAGCATCCAGTCTCCCTCCTTGTCCTTGTACGTTAGCACGAATTCAGAAGAACCGTCTCGTGGTGTGCTCGATCCTGATTGGACGAAAACCAAGCACAAGTGAATTCATTCTCGGACAACGAATCAAGGTCAGATGACGGATGGAGGCCAAGAAAAGAGAGACCTGCTGAGAACATTTCCTGCAGAGTCTTGGACAATGACCGGTAGGATCTATGAGCGTTCAGATCGATTTTTCTTCCGATGGGAGTGCCATCCATAGTCACCTTCACAAACATTGAGCTTCCCATCTTCACATCCCTTGTACCCTTCTTGCTTATGTCTTTGCGGCTCTCTGGATTCAGCTCTCCACCGGCTAATGCCGTGGCCATACTGCTCATCCTGTGAGTTCTAACTGGTGGCCATCCCACAGCTTGCCTGTCATTTCGCATTTTCAAGGTATCAAGAGGGTACTCATCAGCTCAGAATCAGACACAGAATTCTACGGATACTCATCAACTCTCAAGCATCAAACACGAAATTTCCAGAACACTGGAGAAAAGCTTTAATCTTTTAGAGAAATGAATCACTACCCATTAGCCACGGCCATGGGATCAGCTGTCCTCTTGACCCCAGCCGCCGCACAAGCTCTGCTCGAGGAAGAATACGAAGGAGAAGCAGAAGCAGAAGAGCAGTCCTCAGCGCACGAAACTCCAGAAACTCCTTGACCCTTCAGGCCGAGGCTCAACGAGAGACCGAGCTGGATATTGGTCTCTGCCGGACAAGACGAATCCTCGAAGGAGACCACGAGATCGCCATCGTCCGACAGAGTCGACGCCGACCCACTGGCGGAAGCGCCTTCCATTCGGAAATCTCAGAGAGGATCCGATCCTTTGCAAGGGAAAGGGGGATGTGGGTTGAATTTGAAGCAAGGTTTTCGACTATAAGTAGCCGAACAGTGAGAGGGGAAACAGAGGAAGAACAACGAGACACGACGGGTGGGATTTGTCCCCTTTTCCCCACAATTTGTCCCCTTGGTCTTTTGTAGGGTGCTTAGCACCATTGAAAAATAAAAGTCTTCTTTGGGTAATTATTAATACGACCCATTTTTATATTGAGGAATATATATAGTTATATGTATATATGTTTGTAAATGTTATAACAATTTTAAAGATTACCCATCTATTCTTAATCTTTGAAATGGGTGAAAGAACTTAGAAAAAAATTTATATAAACTCGTTTACCAAGTATGTAGATAATAAAGACACAAACTATATTTTGTTGGGACAGTAATCATTAATTGGATCCAACGATGATCAGAAGAAAAATATATTCCATAGAAATCCGATTTGCATTGGGTTTCTGAGTGTCAAAATCATTTTTTTGTTAATTATATATTTTTTTTTAGAAAATGAGGATAAAATGAGGGGGGAACTGTCGAGACCGTGAGAGTAATAAATAACGAAATCATAAATGGACAGCGAAGGATTCAACTGCAGAATCAAAAAGAAATGAGAAGTGGGGGCTCACATGTCAGCTTGGACCTCATGGGTCCCACGTCGCTGAACGTGAACCCGACTAAACCTTCTTGGATATATCATCTACTTTAATTTTTAATTGAATGTGTAAGAAATCCAATCCAAACCGATATTAGAAAGCAGAATCGATCTAAATAGCCAAGCATCCCTTTTATCTTTGTTTGGGGTCCGAATAAGAACCGACCGTTGCTTCTTTCCCATTGAAGCGATGGAAATAAACAACGTGATTGGGTTTAGGATCATCTCGTACCAAGATTGACCATTTCGGATTTCGGTTAGTATTCGATTTTGTTATATTCAGTTATAGAAAAACTATAACCATTGGTTTTTATATAAACTTCGGTTCGATTTCAGTAAAAAAATTAGTTTTTAAAAGAAATTATCGATTTTTTTAATTATTTTTTTATTCAGTTCGATTTAGATTTTTTCGGATTTAAAGAAATCATAACCATTCAGTTTTGATGTCAGGCTCAATCCGGATACGTTTATATCTTATTCAGTTCAATTCGATTTGGTTATTCGATTAATAACCACTCTCGCACGACGTACTCTAGCGACCAAAATGATGTCTCATAGCCGGCAGAATCAGATCCTTTGGACACGTGTCAGCTCCGGTACCCTCCATCTCTATCGTACCGTACCGTACCAAAGAACTAAAATGAGAAATTCGGGGTTAATCTGCCATGTGGAGAAAAATCACTCAAATATACCAAAAACGTCGCACCAATTTCTCTGATACACCAAAAAAAAAAGTAAATTTTTTTTTAATTTTATACCACTTTTTCGTTCAAAAAGTTCGAAATAACATTTCTTTCATATTTTTTACGATTTTATTACGACTATAACTAGTATACGAATAAAAAAAATATTTATTATCGTATAATAACTAAAGATCTTATAAGTAATTCATTTAGAATCAATTATAACTGTATTTAGAATCAATTGCGATGTTGTAATTATAATTATGCGGTTTCATTAAGGATAATATAGTCTTTTCGAAGTGAATTTAATCTCTTATATATTTTTTTTTGGGTGTATTAGATAAATTGGTGGGACATGTCCGGTATATCTGTGTGATTTATCCGCCATGTGGGGTCAGGAGGAAATGATACGGCGTCGTTTCATGTAATCTTGTCACGACCACTCCACAACCCCAACCATATTGACATTGTAATATCTGATTCTGGGCTTCAACAGCATCTCATTTCTTCACTTGCTGTCTAAAAGTTCCGTATGAGATGATGATTTTCCCGGCGATGGCTTGCTTCGCGCCAAAACCGCCCATGCTCTTCTCCGCTCCGGCGTTGAATCCCCGTCTGCCTCGCACCTCTCCATCGATCCCTCCGGTCTGCTCGGCTGCTCCGGCTGATGCTGTGCCGGACCCTGAATCCAATCGCATTCCCATTTCTGGATCCCGTGCCCGACGGCGGAAAAAGGAAGTCAGACGGAGTGCCGAAGCCAGTGACGAGAAGTTTACGGCAACGATTCCGCCGAAACCGAGGCGCGGGCGGCGGAGCGAGGCGGATGCCGTCGAGGATTTTGTGAGAACCTCCCTCGAGCGTACGTTCACCGCAATACGGGAGCAAAACCCAGAGGTTTTCGAGAACAAGGAGATAGCTAATTTCATCAAGGAGAGAAGCCCGCGAAGTGACGATGCAGACGTTGGTGATGATGATGATAACGAAGAAGTAAAAAAAATGGTGGTGGAGGAGGAGGATCCAGATTGGCCGCTAGACACGGACGTAGGGTGGGGAATCAGAGCATCGGAGTACTTCGACACGCATCCGATCAAAAACGTTGTCGGAGAAGACGGGACTGAGATCGATTGGGAAGGGGAGATGGACGATTACTGGGTTCAAGAGATCAACTGTCTGGAATGGGAAAGCTTCGCATTCCATCCTAGCCCCCTCGTCGTCCTCGTATTCGAGCGATACAACAGGTACAAGCTTTCACTTTTTCATTGATGAATTTTTACAAACAGCTTGTATGCATATCGGAAGTGTCACCACAATGGACTTTTCCTGTGCCGGGTAGAGATCAAACATGTTTCTTTCTTCCTCTTCCTCGAGAAATTCTGCCACCTTATCTGTATGCGTCTAAAGAGCATCAGAACTACAGAGTTTCTTCATCTGAACAGATCGTGGTTAGTAAACTAGTGAGATTCAGAGCATTTTCCAAGAAGATGGTTACCACTTCCAGTTTCAGACGATGGTATGGCAGAGGAAAAGTACTTAAATGTGCTAATGTTGAAGCTTTGTTGATGTAACAGGGCCAGTGATAACTGGAAGACATTGAAGGAGCTGGAGAAAGCGATCAAAGTATATTGGGATGCTAAAGATCGATTGCCCCCTCGGGTAATAATTCAAAAGCTTCATCCAGTTTGCCATCTACTGTAATTTGGCCTTTTTGAAACTTGACGTCATCGCCTGAAGAACTCGATCTCTTTTCTTGCTCCATTTACATGTTGTTTGACACCCTCCGTGGTACTTCGGAATCTCTGCATTTAGCTGCTCACTCTAAGAGTCGACGTGTTTTCTGAAACAGGCAGTTAAAATTGACCTAAACATCGAGACAGATTTGGCATACGCTCTTAAAGCTAAAGAGTGCCCACAAATTCTGTTCTTGCGGGGAAGCCGGATTCTGTACAGGGAGAAAGGTAATAAGAGACGTCTGTTTCCCTTTTCGCGTTTCTTTGAACAAGGGCTTGCTTTAATTTCGAAGTTTCTGCAGAATTTCGCACTGCAGATGAATTGGTCCGTATGATCGCACATTTCTATTACAACGCCAAGCGACCTTCATGGATCGACAAGGCTAATGTGTATCCCTTTCAGTAGTTGCACTGCATCATCGGATGAGGTACTATACTACGCACAAGAATCAAATGCAAGAAAGCGGGTTTCTTTTTTAGTTTGTTCCGAAATCCTATCATTCTTCATGCTGATATCTCTAATTTCGCTTTGGGAATCTTCTTGCAGGAACATCCGCTTGAACCGTGTGGATACTGATGTTTCAATCTCCTGTTTATGTTGTTCTCTTTTTAAGTTAAGTGTGCTCCATCCATGGCCAAACGTTTGTTGTATTAGAGAACGTCAATGCGTGTGAGAATAGACGGGGAGACGGGTAGGGAGTAGAACGCTTAAGCGTTTCTCTGTTGGAGATCAGAAATGTGTGTAGTTTTACTGGGCCCATGCTCCGAGTGGCGTAGTGCCGAAAGAGCCCATGACGCTGGCCCAGTCTCATGGGAATTAATATAATATATATTTAATAATATATGGACATCGAAATTGTGTATTGTTTTTAGGAAATGACTGAAAATATATATAACTCCAAAGAGGTTTACTCAAAAGAAAGGTTACGTATTTTCTATAGTTGTTAATTTCATTTTTCACAAGAATTGAAAGTCAACCCTGTGTATATTAGATTTTTAAAATACTCTTTATCTTTTACTGATTATCGAATTATATCCTCTGCTAAAAAGTATATGTAAAAATAAATATAAATTATATCTTCTCAAAAGAATGCCATAATAAATTTATAATCGTTCCTTGACAATCCATTAAATCTGATATAAAAACGAAACGAGTATTATTTTTTAAAATCGAATTTAAACAGAAATGAATAGAAATAAAACCCAAATGGAAATTCAAATAACCATCCTGTTTACCAGGCAGAGAATAAGGGTTGAAATTGATTCGGACAATAATTATATGGGCACAATACATAAATAAGTCCAACTTAAGGGGTTAAATTGGAAATAGAAAAGGTATGAAAACTCAGGGCCGATTTTCTTCGTCAGACGCGATCAGCGCTACGAATAGTCATCTCTTCTTCGGTTGGACGCTCGATTCATTCGCTGGTTTCGGGAAGAAGAATTAGAAAGATGAGGGGATTGGTGAACAAGCTCGTGTCGAGATCTCTTTCCGTTTCCGGAAAATGGCAGCAGCAACAGCTCCGCCGTCTCAACATCCACGAGTATCAGGTTCTCCTCTCGATTCCGATTTCCAACATTCTGATTTGTGGACGCCCCCGTAGATTCTCTTTTCGGAACCAAATGATCTTGAAGTATTCGAATTTTGTGTGTGATCAGTGTCTTTGGTGTATTTGTTTTGTTTTGATCCTAAGACTGGTATATGATGGGAAATTATGGAAGCGAAGCTAGGATCGCGGTGTGTTGAGCCTGTCTTAGATTCTGTATTGAATCAAATAATGGAGTATGTATCATAGATTTTCGTTTTCAATGTTCAGCGAACTAGAGGAAGAGCTGGTTTTCTGGTAGCAAATGGAGTCGTCCAGTTCTTCCTTTTCTTTATGTTTGTGGATCTCTTTGGATGAATACCAGGGGGCTGAATTGATGGGGAAATACGGAGTTAATGTGCCAAAGGGAGTCGCTGTTTCATCAGTGGAAGATGTGAAAAAGACTATTCAGGAAGTTTTCCCCAACGAAAATGAGGTACTACTTACACAACCCCTAGAGGAACAAATTCTGGCTGGGGCTTTCGAATTGTAATGCCTGTTTTATTCTTTTGGCATCTCCTTCTCGATTGCATTTTCCTCTTTTTTGGTTGATTCATCGATACTGGTTGCCTAATAGCGGCCTTTCATGATACAGTTGGTCGTTAAGAGCCAAATTTTGGCTGGTGGACGGGGTCTAGGAACATTTAAGAGTGGCCTTCAGGGTGGAGTCCACATTGTCAAGCGTGATCAAGTTGAAGATATTGCCGGTATGCATGTGAACCTAAAGAGTTTTCAATTAATTTTGCTGCAGGTGACCTGTTTATGGCACTTTGTGGTTGGTTCTCCAATTTGTTTCGTTTTTTCTTTACTAATTTGTTTCTTTTGCTTTTTCAGGAAAGATGCTTGGACAGATACTAGTTACCAAACAAACTGGCCCTCAAGGCAGAGTAGTCAGCAAGGTCTGTTATCAGTTACTCATGCAGCACATAATCAAAATTCTTATTTTGTGTGTCCGCCTTAGTGATTGCTTCTCTTCTTGGATGGGATTTTGATCATGAATTAACATCTTTCTATCTGTATCCTTGACCAGGTTTACTTGTGCGAGAAATTGTCACTCACCAACGAGATGTACTTTTCCATAATTCTGGATCGTAAAACTGCTGGTCCTGTATGTTTGACAAACAATAAACCATTATCGCTTTTCCCAGTTTTTTTATTTTTATGTTCTCTTCTCTCTTGCCATGATCTGTCTCAGACACCTGTCAGCAGTTACTAAACTAATTCCCTGTTTGTCACAGCTTATAATTTCCTGCAGAAAAGGAGGTACCAGCATTGAAGACCTTGCCGAGAAGTTTCCTGATATGATTGTTAAGGTTGTGACTACTTGATTCTTTGATCCTCTAGAAATATCGCTTGGATATTTTTTCCTCACCGGCTGTTCAATTGTAGATTTACTGATCATATCTCACTCTCGTTTATTGGTTTTCTACAGGTACCGATCGACGTGTTTAAAGGAATTACTGATGAGGATGCTGCTAAGGTTGTGGATGGTTTGGCACCGAAAGGTGCTGATAGAAAAGATTCTATTGAACAAGTGAAGAAGCTATATGAACTCTTCTGCAAATGTGACTGCACAATGTTGGAAGTAAGTCCAATCATCCTAATATTCTTTAACTTCCATGCATGTATTGGACCATTTGTTTACATTCTCTTTTGTGGTCGACATCTTGTCTTGATCACCGATTATATTGAACAGATCAATCCCCTTGCTGAGACATCGAGCAACCAGTTGGTAGCTGCTGATGCCAAGTTGAATTTTGATGATAATGCTGCTTTCCGACAAAAAGAGATTTTTGCCCTCCGTGATCCCACCCAAGAGGATCCCCGAGAGGTCTGATTCCACATATCTGTTGTCTTTTTATTATTCCTTGCTAGATGTCAGCCTTCCTTTCATTTCAATCCCTGGAACTATTGCATAATGAAGTGAAGATAATGGTGGAAGAGCGAATGTGGTCTTTCTCCTAGGTGGCTGCTGCCAAGGCTGACCTGAACTACATTGGGTTAGATGGAGAAATCGGTTGCATGGTGAATGGTGCTGGGTTAGCCATGGCTACCATGGACATCATTAAATTGCATGGTGGAACGCCTGCCAATTTCCTTGACGTCGGTGGAAATGCTTCTGAAAATCAGGTAACTTGTTTTTGCTTCGGGGTCCATATTTTCTGCTTCCTTAACTGATGACAAGGGCAGAACTTTTGATTAAGCAAGCATCCCACGTCCTTGTTGAGAGCTTTTAAAATCTCTGATTCTGTTTTTTTTTTTTTGTGTTTATCAGGTGGTTGAGGCGTTTAAGATATTGACTTCTGACGAGAAAGTGAAAGCAATCTTGGTCAACATATTTGGTGGGATTATGAAATGTGACGTGATAGCGAGCGGAATCGTCAGTGCTGCAAAACAGGTGAGTGGTCCGCTTATTTCCCGAGATCTGCATTTTCAGGAAAACTCACTCTCTCACAGTTGCCTAACAGAATATGTTCATCCACGCGTGTCTCTCAGGTCTCCCTCAAAGTGCCCGTGGTTGTCCGTCTTGAAGGTACCAATGTTGAACAGGGAAAAAGAATCTTGAAGGTACAATTCCAAGCCCGCACTTTACATGGAAATGTCAGCACATATTCCTACTTGGAGTAGAAAAAACTTTGAAGATGCAACTCCTGATAATTGAAACTTCTTTCTACAGGAAAGTGGAATGACCCTGATTACGGCCGATGACCTGGACGATGCGGCCGAGAAAGCTGTTAAAGCAACAACCAGCTAGTATAGTTAGATCACCTATAAAGAGTTCTTTCTATTTTCTCTTCTTCTTTAACAGATCCATTAGATCTGCTCAATAACGTACTGAGAGCGCAAAGGGGGCTCTTTTTCTCTTTCGTGGTCCTTTTAACATTTTCTCTCAATCATTTATGTTATAGACAGAACGGTTCAAGTCTCGTTAAAATGTTTAAAATTCTTCGGGGACTGGATAGTTCCCTGGCAGAATCTCTCTCTCTTTTGCAGATATTTAATAACAAATCAGAAACCAGGGGAGGTTTTCGCTCCTTTCATGTTCTTATTCTTTACTTGACAACATAATTCAGAGTTTCTGGTTGACAAAGTTTGAGATCCTTCAAGAATCAGATGATTCTGCACTGGAATCTCTCATCTTCCCTTTTGCAGTGAGATAGCTATCCTTCTCGAAATGCAGTAAGCAGTGGACTGGATGGTGATCATCGGGTTTATCCCAATAGCGGACGGCAAAACACTCCCATCACAGACGAATAAGCCCTCGGCCTCCCAGCTCTGACCGTTCTCGTCCACCGCACCTTCTCCTGCAGAGGCACCCATACGGCAGCTCCCCATCTGGTGTGCGGAGAAGTATGTCGTCCAGTGCTCCCCTCTCGTCCTCACTCCCCCAACCGCATCCACGCTGTCCAGAAACTCCTCCATTGCTTCTGCTGTAAGCCCCTCGCACTTCATCCTCTGTCCATCGCTCCTGTAGAACACCAGTTAGTTTTGTTTTAGAATGCAAGACCAAGACCCCGACCTAGAATCATCCTTATCTCTAGATGACCTCAAGCTAGACTGGCACTTCCTTATTCTAAGGGAAATCTAATTAGAGAGATTTTTAGTACGGTTTCGGTGAATATCATCATCTGAACTTCTCCTGAAAATGGATAATAACGAGTGATTTCTCGGAAGCAACCCTGAATTTGAAATTGAACTTAGACCAATCTAGTAGCTTCTCTTTCCAAGGTTTAGCCTCTTGATTGAGTTTCTAGTTTCTCGTATAGTTTTAGTGTTGTTTGGCATAAAACATGCAAGGCGTGTTTCTTTTTCCCTCGACCAGCTTACCTATATGTCCCAACTTCAGCAGCGCCCGCAGCGATCAGGATCCTCAAGGCTTGTCTCAGCCCCACCCTTAGACTCTCCTTATCCTTCTGGCTCAACCTGTACTTAACATCCCCTTCCTTCACAACCTCACCCGAACCGTTGTCCCTAACCAGCGCAAACACGTGAGCTGTCCTCCCGTATCTCACCATCCGGTCCTTAAAGTCCGCTGCTGAAACCCAAGGCACCAGCCCCGCATACGACGCCGGTCCTATCAGAGGAGTCTCCAGCACTGCTCTGCTTCCCGACCCTGACTCTGTGCCTGTCACATGATGAACTGACGTGATGATCCCTCCCTCGTACATTTTCCCTGAGAATTCCGAACCCTCCTCGGGGAAGTACCCCCACGTCATCAGAACCGGATGCAGCCTGAGGTTTCTACCGATGTGTGGGTTCTCCAACTTGCTCGAGAGCATCAATGGTGGAGTCAACAGCGACCCAGCTGCTGAAATCGTTGCTCGGGCCTCGAGCCAGAGTTTCTTCTTGATTTTGCCCCCTAGAGAACTAGCAATCACTCCTACACATCTCTTCCTTCTCTGGTGTCTGCCATTGCTGTTATCATTGCTGTCTTCTAATATAAATTTCTCGGCTTTAATACCTGTCAGGATTACAGCTCCGTTGTCCACGGCGTCAACAAGCCATGTCCGGTCCGTCCCATTCTTGTCTCCTGTCCTACATCCGTACCCGCAAGAACCGCAGTAATGATCTCGGGGTGAGTTTCTTGGAACTGGCTCTACTTTCAACCCGAGTCTCTCGCACCCTTTTCTGAGAACCTGGTTTTGAAACCCTTCTCTTTCGCAGCTCTCTGTGATACCTAACCTTGTCATAACTTGATCCATGGCAGAATGATATTCTTGGCTATTGAAAAGCTTGATCTTATGCTCGGTGGACCATTCCTGCAGAACATGATCCGGAGTTCTTATGGAGGCCGACCAGTTAACCGCGGAGCCACCTCCGACGGTTGATCCAGCCAAGACCATGAATTTCCCATCGACTGTTGTCATAAGCCCACTCTTCTCGTAAAGCTCGGCCATAGACGGACCTTCGAGGGACGAGTAGTCACGAGGTGAGAAGTAGTTACCTTTCTCGAGAACTACCACTTTAAGTCCGGCCATAGCGAGATTGGCAGCGGCCACACCGCCACCGCAGCCTGAACCAACGACCACCACGTCGCATCTGATGGTGTTGTCTTCAGCAACGTGGACGCCTTTGTCGAGGAGAGATTGCCTTATGGAGATGTCGTCCTCGTCCACTGTCTCTATGATCCCCTTCTCAAGAGGTCTTTCCTCCTTCCAACCTCTCTCTCTTGTGTCCACTCTGTATCCGATGGATTCCCACGCAGGATTCTTCGAATTCTCATCAGCCTACAAAACCCATATCGCTACCTATCATGTCTAAAGGGTTTTGCGTAAATCCACCTTCGGGTCACATGATATTTGACTGAAGAGTTCCGTTCATACCCGGGCAAAGAAGTAGAACAGGCAGAAGAATTTGACGAGGAGGAAGGTGATGCGGAGTGGGACGAAGACCCCGCTCTGCTTGGACCATGCCCGGAGGATTGCCTCTCTCGTGTGCAGAGGGAGCTGGGAGAATGTGTGGAGAAAGGGCCATTTGGCATCAATGCAGAGAGTTCCACAGAGAAGTAAGCTTCCCAATCTGGAAGATAGAATCTTCAAGACGATCCTCACAACCGCAACTGCTTCTGGTCGGCCATGCCTCGCCATCATCTCCCCCACCTGTTTTTTTTTTTTTACATTCAACAGTGTGATGGATTAGAAGACTGACTAAAGACCAACACCCAAATAAAGGTTTTCTTTTTGTACTTGATGATGATGATGATGATGATTTTAGTCGAAACTCTAAAGACAACCGAATCTACTCTTCTGACACCGACACTGTTCTATACACAGCACCCATCATATTATCTTATTTCTTTTTTTATTATTTTTTTCCCTCGAGCACATCGAATTTCGAAACTGGCGAGGAAGAGGTACCTCATCAGGAAGAGATGGCTGACTGTGGAAGGAATCGAGAGAAGGCGGCGGAGGGAGGAGGGTGCGACAGATGGCAGCCAGTGATTGGATCTGAGCAAGAGAGAAACCATGGCTGTAAGCTCCCTCTACTTTCCTCCACCTGAGCAGAGGATGCCCTCGGCTACTGCTCCCATCCTCCATGGTCTTGACTTGGAACAGTCTGTGTTTTGAGGTTCTTGTTTTATATGCTCTCAGTTAGGACCATACTTTGAAGACTTCCAACATGATTGGATTTTGTGAAAGCCAGGGATTTGGTAAGAATCTGTGAAATCATCATCTAATGCCGCCTTAATGGGCCCCACGTCAAACTCTTTTAAAGCTAGAGACACATGCGAACTTTCCCTTCCTCTTTTGACATCACATAATCGTTTTTGGGATTAAAAAACAAAAGATTAGCTTCTTTTTTGTAATCTTCCCACTGTAACTGTATTATTCATTTTTTGTATGCGACGAGCTGTTTTTTTTTTGTTAAAGTGTATGAGACGATCTGTTACTTAGAGCTTCATGACAGGTTCTGTTAGGGTCTTGTGGCGTCTGCACTTCTGTATTGTTTGTGAATATATATATGTGTGTGTGTGTGTGTATGCTTCTATCGCTATTGATCTTACTATGTATCATTTGAATTTTTTTATCGCCAATGAAATGAATGCTTTTTTCAAGGAAAAAAAACGTCAGGAAGTCTCTTCTTGCAAACCAAAGACAGCACACATGCCTCAACTTGTTTTTATCACATTACAGTGAAATGAATCAGGGCGAGACTCAGAAACTCAAACCCAAAGAAGAGGATAATACACTCATCTCCTCCAACCACAGAGAGGATACCAAAAAAAAGAACAAAAAAATTAGCATTTCTCATGGATACATGCCGGGTTTTCTCAGGAGTACCCGGCCCCTCCGAGTCATCGATATTTGCTTGGTAAAGTCCAGCAACCTCTATTGCTTCTTAACCTGCAAACCCACATACAACACTACTCAAAATAAATTCCTTCTTTTTTTTTTCGGATAGATTCTCTACGAAATCCGATAACAAAATTATATCCTTTTAAATCTGAAGCACCCGAGTCTGCATTCAAAACACGGAAAACATTCCAAATCTATTGAGTTTCAGACATCTTGTACACATGGTACCAGTTGCTGGGGCTATGCCAGTCATGGCACAAAGCTTGGCTTTTATGTCTGTTAAGGGTTCAGAAGCAAGAATGAGAGCTCGGGAGCTATGGGCTATCTATTATTTGAAGACAACCAGGAAACGAAATGGTTCAAAAGAAGTCACTACCTTCCTCAGGAATTTCTCATGAATCCTCAATGCTTCCCTACATGCCTTTTTAGCGTCTAGATTACCTGCTATGTCGCCCAATATCTGTAAATGATTTGAGAAAGAAAAAAAAGCCAAATTCTTTTTCAAAAAGTCGAGATCTTGATAGTTTTTGGTATTCAGAGAGAACGAGAGAGACCTGAACGACGTCGTCTAGGCCTTTTGCTTCGTTCAAGAGACGCTTGTTCTTGGTCTCCAGAACACTAGCGACCACAAAAACGGCGAGCGTTTTGTGTTGCTCAGTCTGACCACCACTCTTCACGGATTTTCTCTCAAACTTCCCGCACTGTTTCAGTAACTTAGGATTCAGTTCAGGCGCATGGCTGTTTTCTGGTTCTTCGTATGATGCAAACATGAATGGATTGTATTCCATGGCCCACATCATCTGAAACAAAAGAAAAAAAAAATCCAACTCACAGTCTTATTATCAACTCAAAACAACAAAAAACCCCAACATCAAGAGCACGTAAACAATGCAGATGAATTCTTGCCAGTAAACAGAACCCGTATCAGCCTCAGGGCTTACTCCAAACAACAGCAAACTCGTAAAAATCAAGAATTTAAAAATGATGAACAGAGATAAATTCTCACTGGTAACAAAATCAGCTCAAGGCAATAATGTAAACCCCAAAATATTTAAGAGAATGCAGATCATTTCTCACTGGTAAAGGCAATACAACAAACAGACAGAGCAAGCTCAGAACAACAGAAACACAAAATCAAGACTGATGACTTGTAGCACCATAAGTAACCAAAACAGATATCAACAGTCTTGTTACCTCCCAAAGGTACAACGCATCCATGAAGGAGAACTCCCTCCTGAAAAGTACCATCAGCATCCGTATAGCAAATAGATATTCTCCGCCGTCAAGGTCCTCTGCCAAGAGAAAGGATCGTGTTTTACCGCATTCCATGTGCCCACAAACATTTGAGTAAACCTGGCTATGACAAATTGAGATTCCAGATAATTTCTCTACCAATGTATCTAGGCGGAATCTGCCATTTCCGTAGTTCATTATGTTTATAACATGATATAAAGTTTACAATGAGGAATGCATTTTCGTAGTATCACCGCCTAGGCATGAGCTCGCTCGTTTTTAGCCGGTCTCAAACCCGGATAAAGGAGGAGGGTTTTGTAGTAGGTGACAACCACCAAAACAAAAACTATGTCATATCTTAACTTGGGATTAAGGTGACGTTGATGATGTTGATGATGAAGCCATTAAGCTATGCCATATCACAAGTTTTTGCCACTAAGCTTATTAACCAGATATGCCAACAAAGCTCATTAACTGTTTTGCCCTTGGCCCATTTGTAGATATGAAAACCACATATGGTAATGGAAGGTGTACCAAGGTGTTGATGGAGCCGAGGATTAACAGTACTAACGATCTGTGAGAGCACACCCAGCTGAGTCTGGACACCCATCGATGTTGTAGTTGCCCTAAAATTCTCTCTCTGAAATTCAATAAAAAAAATCACGAAAACAGCAATATGGGGATGACACAAGAACAACAATTATTCCAAACTTACTAGTCTTCGCATTGCACGCTCAAAACACCAGAAAGCATCAGCTTCATTCTCAAGAAGGATTATCATCGGAGAACATATATCGTTCATTCCTGCATTTAGGATATGTAGACTACTCATTTTAGCGGAGGTCTCTTTTCTCCTTTCTCCATAGGTGTGGTTAATCATTAGCAACCAGTTGATTTACCTTGGACGTAACCAATATCGGGATTCAACCACGTATAGATGGCAAGAACATCCCAGAGTCTTGCTTGATTACTGTCACTCTCATAAAAGCAGAGATACCGATCTGTTCTTACAACGTCCAGACCTGCAACAATTTTTCAGTTTGCTAGTCATACAAAAAATGTAGAAGAGCGCCTAAAGAGCTGATATAAAAGAGGATACATGCATCAACAATGCTTAAAAGCATGTAGATGGCACAATCAGAAATAGAAGTAAAACTTTATACAAGTAGGCATACCGATTTGATGCAATGAAAGCATCCACTGGAGTATTCTCTGGTCTGAAATAGCGGTTTTCACAAGCCATCCTTGATTTTCTTCAGAAGAATCCTCTATAGGTTGCCCATTTTGTGCGACCACTGGCAATGAGACGAGCCTCCCACTACCGATGACAGGAACCATTTTCCGGCATTCTTCTTTCCATGCGCTGTACTGCTCCCTTAGATGATCAGTGCGGTGAGGTTAGAGATAAATTGAAACGAAGGAAAAAATAAAGAACAATATGACAGGATAACTAATCAGTTCTCAAGGAGATAAAGCCAGGGTAGCTGTGAGGAAATTGCACAAAAGGTTACAAAGTAAACAACCATCTATAAAACTACTTGAGCTTTGAATAAATTCTTTTCAGAAAGAAAATGTAAGGACCAATCATCTATCATAAAATTTCTTAAGCTCAGAAGAAGAAATTTTCAGATGATTGCATTGAAGTAAAGAAGACATTAGTACCTCCTGCGGCTCCTCAGCTTGTTACTTTGCTCAAATGTGCTGTTTGGATCATAGCATCCTAATAAAAACTCCCACACTGCTCCTTTGATCGAGGGATGGACTCCCTAACAATGAAACAAGTCAACATCGATAAAAAAAATGGAGTCTGTTACACGCAAAAAAGGTACACTTACCCCGCGCTGTATTCGTCTCAGCACTCTTGTGTTTTGGCGAGGTTGTGAATTTTTCGACTGTTGTGGTTGTATGTGCAGGCGTTCAAGAGGTACGTGGAGATAGGAAGGGTGGCGCTTGTCAACTACGGCAAGGATTATGGAAGGCTCGTCGTGATCGTCGACGTCGTCGACCAAAACAGGGTAATCTCATTTGCTTCTTTCATATTTGAGGTTTTGCTCTCCATTGTGTCATTTTGTCGTGTTTTGATATGCTGTTGTGTAACCAATGTGATTCGGATGTGATTTTATGGCGTCTCTGTGACTCTTGTGTTGTTTCGTAAATGTGTTTCGGGAACCCTTCAGGATATCATCGCCTTGAATGTGAGCTTTTTTCTGTTAGACTCTGTTCTTAGGGAAACAATGTGTTGTCCTAGCTCGAGTTACCAATGTGTATGTTACCAATTGTGGATCTGGTTAAGAGTATTCGTAGTTGACTTCGAATTTTTACCTTCAGGATAGGGCACATTAGGTGTCGAATCATACTCTGATGTGATGCTTGTTGAGTCTCTTAATGAAGTAGTCTAATGGAACCAATTATCTTCCAGATTGAAATTCAATTGCTCACGGTACTCTTTCCATATCCAGATGCCCATCTTCTGTAAATGCAGCTGCCCATCTTCTTGCACTGAGAGTTTTGCCTGCCTGTTAAGCACAAGCACCATATCAATATATGTCATCCCCGAAAGAAAAGAAACTATAGTCAATCCCTAAACAAAAGCATCACCGTTGAACCTGAGAACGCACCCAACACTAACACTTGAAACCGCAGTAAAATTCAAAATCTGATGAGAACCCAATACGTTAAACCTCCCCAACTATGAGATACTTCAAGTCTTCAACCCGAGAACCGAGCATTAATCATGAATATGAACAGCAAAAAGGCAAACCCTGTCGATTCCTAAACAATAGACCCACCTTCATGCTTAGCGCCCACCAAATACCGAAACTTGAAAAGAAGCAAAACTCTAAATATGATGAGAACCCGGTACTTTCAATCTCCATCTATGAAGCAATTCAATTCGAATCGTGGAGAAGCATCAACAGAAGGAATAAAAAGCTAAAAAGAAGACCACCTTGAACCTCAGCGTCTATCGAATACTAAACCTTGTAAATGGAGCGAAACTCTGAATCCGATTAGAACCCAATACTTTGGATCACAAGCTATGAAACCAAACATTAACGAAGAACATGAACGGTAAAGAGGACAAACCCTGGACTTAAATCGGGTCCTTGGAACATCTGCTTCGCATTCTGGCCTAATTGGATAGAAACCTTGCAAATCCTCCCCTCCTGATTTCCACATAAATCCGCAGCAAACCATCCAAGCTTCTTCGTCTCCCTGTTCGTGAAACGAGGATCGATCATTACAAAAGAAATCACTCCCGGAATGAATTCATCACGACCACTAAAACTCATCAGGGAGAAAAATAAGGGGGGTCTTCGACAACTCGGACAAAAACACACGTGTTTGCAAAAAAAAAATCTGTTTGTTGAATTTCTGAGTATTCGTTATTAATCTGTTTCCATTCTCCTCAACTAATCTCCATTAATGGAAAGAATCACGCTACGGAAATACGATCTGAGCTCTTCCCATTCTCTTCGAAAATGTAGACATCTGGGCATTACCAAATCTACATAACAAGATAATTGAATCGAAAGAATGACCCAGACGTTGAGGCGCTTGATCCTTGAAGCATCGCCTTTTCGTTTTATTTTCTTGTTCGATTGATCTCCGGGGGAGAGAATTTAAACCAAACAACAATGCGGAGATTGGAGCGAGGGAGACGCCAGATTCACGGCTCGATCGCGTTAGGCATGCCGTTAACGTACCGCTTATGTTGACTGCAACTCAGGCGACGATCGCTACCGTTACCGTTAGCTCGGAAAATACACTAACGACGTCGTTTTATGGTCTACCGTATTTGGGCTTTGTAATAATCTTGTTATGGGCCAGGTAATACGGGCTTTCCCTGCCGTCTAAAACCCTAATCGACGCCTTGTGCCTATATTTTCTCTCAGGCAAACCCTAGTAGTGCAAGCGTTCTTCATCACTCGGCTGCCTCTCGTCCGCTTTCCTCTCTCCGAGCGTTTTGCCAATCCGAGAAAATGGTGAGTTTCTCTTACTGCTACCCCTCCGATTCTGTTCCCCTTCCTGTTTTCCGATGTTCTTAGCTTCCTGCAACCTCTGAATACCTTCTCTCTGATGTTCGCATCACATTTTTGATGAATTCGTTTTTGCATTTTGGATTTGGAATTTTCTCCATCGCCTTACCTTTTTTTGTCGTATTTTACTTCTAATTGATCCTTCAATTTGCTTTGTTAGCGGTGTTCATAAATAGTGTTTTGGCGAGGTTGTGAATTTTTCGACTGTTGTGGTTGTATGTGCAGGCGTTCAAGAGGTACGTGGAGATAGGAAGGGTGGCGCTTGTCAACTACGGCAAGGATTATGGAAGGCTCGTCGTGATCGTCGACGTCGTCGACCAAAACAGGGTAATCTCATTTGCTTCTTTCATATTTGAGGTTTTGCTCTCCATTGTGTCATTTTGTCGTGTTTTGATATGCTGTTGTGTAACCAATGTGATTCGGATGTGATTTTATGGCGTCTCTGTGACTCTTGTGTTGTTTCGTAAATGTGTTTCGGGAACCCTTCAGGATATCATCGCCTTGAATGTGAGCTTTTTTCTGTTAGACTCTGTTCTTAGGGAAACAATGTGTTGTCCTAGCTCGAGTTACCAATGTGTATGTTACCAATTGTGGATCTGGTTAAGAGTATTCGTAGTTGACTTCGAATTTTTACCTTCAGGATAGGGCACATTAGGTGTCGAATCATACTCTGATGTGATGCTTGTTGAGTCTCTTAATGAAGTAGTCTAATGGAACCAATTATCTTCCAGATTGAAATTCAATTATCGGCTAAATTGCTTATCGTTTTCTTGGTGGCCGCTCTTTTTCAGTTTCTTAGATTTTATCATTTGTTAGTGAGTTCAGGTATGTGTTTTCATAGCCTTATGACTTAGACTTCTGTTTTGTTTATTATTTGTTGTCCGTTCGTCTATAGGCTCTGGTTGATGCCCCTGATATGGTGAGGACGCAAATGAACTTGAAGAGGTTGTCTCTGACTGATATCAAGATTGATATCAACAGAGTGCCCAAGAAGAAGAATTTGATTGAGGCAATGGAAAAAGCGGGTGAGTGTTTTTTTTTTTTTTCCGTTTTTGCTTTTTGAGAAGCTTTGCTTTGGTTTGTGTTGTTGTCTGTCTGGTCATCTAAAATGGACAAATTTTTGGCAGATGTGAAGAACAAATGGGAGAACAGTTCATGGGGTAGGAAGCTGATCGTGAAGAAGAGAAGGGCTTCACTCAACGATTTTGACAGGTTCAAGATCATGTTGGCTAAAATCAAGGTCAGCATATGTTTTTTTATGGTTTGCCCACAATGCAATATATTGTGAAATAGCTAAAAAGAAAAGCAACAATCAATCATTTACTAAGTGGCATACATGTAGCTTAGTGTTTGCATCACTGTGTTGGAATTTGCATGTATTTTTTAGCAACAGTTTCGGTTTTTAACACCAAATGCAATTGTTTTCTGTGTGTGTGTGTGTGTGTGTGATGTGCAGAGGGCGGGAGTTGTGAGGCAGGAGCTTGCAAAGCTCAAGAAAGAGAGTGCTGTCTGAGCATCAATTCTGGTTGTGATTTTTGTTACTGTGATTACAAAGTTTTTGAAACCTTTAGATTTTGCAGAGAGAATGGTTTCTGGATTTTGATGTTTGAGTTGTCATTTCAAGTTTAAAAGACTTTATAATGGCGATCGTAATAATGTATCAAAAGTAGCCCACTGCGTATTTAAGTAATAATTAGATTTGATTCAACAACAGGAGGAATGCATATATTTGGACCAAAGGGAAAGCGGCACTCGCTAGTCAAAGATCTTGATACTTAACCCCACCAATCAATACCTATGTATGTATAGGTGTGTGTGTATATATATGTATATGCCAGGTGTCGGATAAGTAAGCATATGCCAATTTGTTTGGAATCTCAAGCTATGGAGATGATTGGTATTGTGCAAATGTTAATTGATTGAATCATTCAGAAAAACTCTTCGTACGATGCACGAACACAAAAGAGCACAACCACCCACAAAAAAAACAGTCAAGAAAATGTACGCAACATGGTCTTCTATATAATATTTACTTGTAAAAGCGAATTATGAAACGAACAAATTAAAAAAAAAAATCAGTGTTTATTATCTTTTAATATAAGCGTAAGTGCATATGTGTGTATATATAAATAAAACTAGCGTGTAGTAATAAATAATTATTAGAATAATAGTAGCAGCAGAGGGGTCGATGCATTATTATATGAGAAAATCACCAATCACCAATCACCAATCACGATCGAGTTAATGGATTGCATGAGATGCTTGTTTAATGTTTATTACTTGCAGATAACAATTTCCCACATTTCTAAGTTATCGGCCCGAATCTTTCGATCGATGTCTGTATATTCATTTGTTTCAGCAATTAATTAATTAATTAATTTATTTATAATCCCTGAGATATTAATGACGTAAAGTTTTAAATTATTGGGTTGTCTATCGTCGTGACTCACCATCTTCCATTTTGATTGAGAGAGTTTCATTTTCTTTTCTTTTCATTAGAGAGAGAGAGAGAGAGACGCATGCAATGATTTATTTACAGAAATAACAACTTGATATATGTTTAAATTTAATGATGTTACATTGTTGTTGTTAATTAGAAACGAATTTCCTTGTTTGAGAGAAGATGAAGATTTTGCAGCAAGGCTTAATTGATGTATAAAAAAATAATACTATGATATATGTTTTTACTCTCGGCCTACCAAATACGTGCCATACCAAAATTAAATTTAATATATTGAACATATATAATCGAGTATATTCATTCTGCAATCTCCAAGTAATTCCATATGCAGAGATCAATTGCAGATTTCTATGGAGGCGTGGAAGGGGTGACACGTGGCGCCCTGTCGTGTCATCGTCCATCGTCAGCATTTGATCATAAGCTTGGCCCCTGTTCTCGTTTTCAAACATCTTTTCACTGCCCTACATGCACACCATTATTTGTTTATATGCGAGTGTATGTTAAAAATAGATAATTAAAAATAAGTTGGTCGGATTATATATAACTTAAAATCATTATTGGATACTTGTTATGTTTGGACCAAGTTGTTGGATTAATCAGAATCCAATGCTGCAGCTACATAGTTGTTTTCTAAAATTGAGCTGATTTAATTAACGACATTGTATATCCAATGTAAGCTCTAAGATATAGGGGTTGCAAAATCAAAGTAGAATATCCAGTGGGTTTTGGACTTGTTCAATAAGTTATATGATCATGTTTAGAAATTTATGTTTTGGGAGCTTGCTATTGATTAATTGTAGATATAATCATATAACAATAAAAAAAAACCACTGAATAAAGACGCAGCAAATTAATAAGGGTTTGACGAGGATGTGAAGAAGGCTGATATGAATATTGGGGCGAATTATTGGCTTACGACAAAAGAATGTCGAATCCGTCACTCTTTCTCCAATCAAAGACAAACACACAAAAATCTTCCTTCCTTGGCAATAAACCCTAACCCTAAAACTTTCCATTATTCCCATCAATAATTCTATAATTATACATCATAATAATTATCTCGAATACGTATATACACCCACCCTCATATTCACAATACTTGTGAATGTCTATGATATTTTTTTATTATTATCTAAAATGACATAAAATAATTGTCCACGTATGAGACCGAATAATAATAGATTTCATTATTTTCCCTTTCTGGGTAATCTAGAAGTTTTGAGCCTCCGGTCTCTTGGGTTCGATGGCAACCTTGGGTAGTAAAATGGTGAAAATCCATGGGTAATATGGATTTAGGATGGCACAAGAGTGACGTGGATTTAGGGCCGGTCCAACCTTGATATTGATATATATTAACAGTGGTGTACCTCTATAACATATTAAAATCCACGTCACAATCATAGATATGGACGTATCTCAACGCCATTGGTATTTCCTCTGATCAAAATTTCCATGTTGCCCGAAGAATATGGTTATTATGTATAGAAAAATTTGATGGTATGATTTATTTGTACCATCGAATTATATAATCCACAAAAACTCCGTAGTGATATCACCTGTATAATGATGTATCGACCAGCTTCCAAGCCCTGAATGTCAACTGCACGCAACTTACCTGAATATGATAATTAGATAGTTTTACATACATATTATACAATTATTTTACGTATTTCTTTACTCAATTCTCATTTCATATATATATTTTAACTTTTTAAATACGTCACTTGTTTAAAAAATAACGGTACATTGAGTTTGTCGAAGACTACTGTCATTTCAAATTTTATCTTTTTTTTTTCTCTCGTAGATGTGGTGCGCGTGAGATATTTTTTTGAAGTTTGACATCCTTAATACCAAGACATGGAAAGAATTGGTTGATCCTGGAAAAAAAAAAATTAAGTTCTCATCCATTCATTTATGTATACGTATTAACCACGAAAAATGACCTTTGGGGTTTGGGAAGAAGTCGTATAATCCAAAATAAAATAGTTTATTTTTTATTTAAGATATCTAGTTATCCAAAAAATCATAAAAGATATTGAAAATCATAGCATTAAAAAATAAAAATAAAAATAAAAATAAAAATAAAAATGATATCAATAATGAGAGAAATTGTTAGTTATCCTTGTCAACAAGTGCAGGGAACCTTACTTTAGGTCCAAAGCTTAGGGTTAGGGTTAGGTTAGGTTAGGTGAGAACGTGTAACGTAACAACTGGCTATTTTTTTTTAAAAAAAAGTAACAACTGGCTCTTGTCTTCCTCTTTTAATTTAATTCAGGCGTTAGTCATAACATTAAATTTGATTTCTGAAAAAGTTGTTATGTAACTTAATAATTCTATCTATAACAAAAAAAAATTTGAAATTAGAATTAGAGAAACGGCTTATAAAGAGAAAAAGAAGAACACGACTCAAAATTAGGTTATGTGGTATATTAATATATATATTATATAACTAATAACTGTAAAAATGGCATGAATATATATTGTATATGTACATATATATGACAAGGGAAAATTATAATCCGTCAGAAAAAAAAATGTTACGAGATTTCACATTCCAAGTTTTAGTCAGTATTAACCTTAATAGCGCATTGATTACTGGTCAATAAAATTACACATTCATTGCCAGATGTCGACGTCTGTAAAAGTATAAATGTTATGGTCCACCATATGCGGTTACACATTTTCGCCCCCAACATATTTTGAGAGTCCATTCGATATTTAATTAATTTATTTAACATAACGCATTATAATATTTATATTATAATATTTAGAAATAAAAAATAAAATCCAACATATTTTATTTAATTAATATAAATATCTAAAAAATAAAAATCAAATCAAATCTATCATTCACCATGTACGACTCTAATACTATAATAAAGAAAAGAGTGAAAAATTGTTTGATCTGTTATTATTTAATATAAAACATTACAATATTCTATATATTTTTCAAATCTCTGGATATCTTATATGATATTCTCCGGATCTCCCCCATAAGATTATACTTTCTCTTGCATTAATTAAATTTTTCATTCAACGTGTACTATCTAACAATATAGCCTTTTAGTATCTATGATATTTGTCCGGTCTCTAGAACTATATATATATATATATATATATATATATGCTTGTAATATCATAAAATAACATTCCAATAATCGTTAAATTATTAAATATGTATTATTTTATAAGAGAAAATCGCATATAAATACCTGAGTTTTTACAAAATCCTAAATAAATATCTGAACTATCAAATAAAACCAAAATTCATTAACGATCTTAAACTTATAACGGAATCCATCGATAATTGATGACTTAGCTATTAGGGAGTATTGTTTTATTTGATAAATTTTTAAAAGTTTGGATATTTATATGGGAGTTTTGAAAATTTTAGATATTTATTTAGAATTTTATAGTTTAGGTATTTGTTTGGAATTTTTATAAAAATTTAGATATTTATATGCGATTTTTTCTTCTTATAAAATTGTCAAATTTGAACAAGCTCATCAATTTGTATCCCTAATCATATGAGAGGACGTACGTCTCAAGGACCAGACAACTGCTCTTTCATCAAACACATTCATGAACAGTGTTTCATGTAATATTGAAATCGTCATTTCAAAGAAAATCTGAAAAATCATACCACATTATATATGTGTGTTGCATATATTATAAATTATAAACACACATGATAAAACATGTTGTAGGCTCCTCAATTATTATGGAAATCTCTGGAAAAAAAAATTCAAAAACACACATGTATTGGGTTTCATGTCCATCATTAATGGACCCCTTTCTTCACATCACTGTTTTTTTATTAAGCCTAAAATATTGTTTTATTATATATATATATATATATATATATATATATATATATATATATATATTTTT